ACTTTGCATAACTTTGAATGCACTATTATATTATTTAATGCAATTTACTTACCATATAATGAGCTCAGAAAAGTGTCATCAATTGCATTTATGAGGAAAGCCTTTACTATTCTTTTAAAATGTACAGAATGATCACAGCGAGATACTGGGAAGAAAGCAATATAACCAGAATTAAAAAAAAAAAAAAGAAAAAAAAAGTGTAAGCAATGTTAAAAATACTGTAGGAATTATTTTTTCTATTATTGTAAATTCAGAATTTTAAAGTCATTTAAATATGGATCTGAAAAGAATTTCAATGTACAATATCCACACCCTTAAGACCTTGCCTTTAAATAGTGCTTCTCATCCCATCTTAATGAATTTTAGCATCCTAAAGTCACACACCCTTTCAGCAAGAGCCCACAGTAAGAGCTACAAACACTAAAAGAAGACAGTAATTTGTTCTATGAATAGCAGGAAATAATGCAAACCAGCGAAGGCCATATTTATGCTTGTTTTGCTTGTTTCTTCTTTTTTCTAACTTTCTTTCAAATACACACAGTTCTGCTCAGGTCTTTACTGGGGAAGAAATACCACAAATGCTTGAGACCATCTACACTAGCACTGACTGTCCAGTCAGTACATACCTGCTTCTGAACAACAAAATATGAAAGATGTTTCAGCTGAGATAGAGTTAATTTTCTTTCTAGTAGCTGGTACAGTGCTGTGGTTTGGATTTAGTATGAGAATACGCTGATAACACACTGATGTTTTCAGTTGTCGCTGGGTAGTTGTAGTGTTTACACTCAGTCAATGACTTTTCAGCTTCTCACACCCTACCAGGTGCACAAGAAGCTGGGAGAGCACAGCCAGGACAGCTGGCCCAGCCTGGCCAAGGGGATATTCCCTGCCATATAATGATGTGCTCTGGATATAACTGGGAAAGCTAGCCAGTAGGCAGAACTGCTGCTCGGAAACAGACTGGGCATCAGGGTTTGTTGTTTTTTTCCTTCTGCATGTGGTGAGCAATTGCATTTGTGCATCACTTGGTTTGTTAACATTATTCTTATTATTCTCTTCCTTTATTATCCTATTAAACTGTCTTTATCCCAACCCACGAGTTTTTTTCCATTCTCCTCCCCATCCCTTTGCAGGGGAGGGATGAGCGAATGGCTCCCTTCCTTCCCCTCAAATTACACCCTCCCTTTAGTAAGATACAGAAAGACTGTAACAGTTTACTGTAGAAATCAGAGTACTTCCACAATAAATTGAAGCCTTTTAGGAATCTGCTTTTAAACTATCATATCCTATGACAAAGTATTTATATTTACAGTCCATTAATATTTATTACAGCACTACAAGCATGTTATACATCAGAATTCTCACTAAGTTTGATCTTACAGCGTGGGATGTAGTATGCCAGCAACTCGCTATTTGATGTATTTAGTTCCTTCTGTTGTGGCTGTTTTTCACTCTTTATGTGCTCTGTGTTGTCATCATCATCATCATCATCTTCCTCTTCCTCTAGTTTAAAATCTTTCATGCTGTCACTGTCAGTTTCACTACCTTCTGTTGGTGTGAGGGACAAGTGACAGAGTGATTCCACTTCTGCTTCATCACCAGAATCCTAATTAAATTTCAAAAAAGTATTTCAGTGTTTGCACTGACGAAATACCACATATACTGGATAAGACTTTTGACTTTCTAATAATACTATTTGTTCAATGAACAAGAAATAATGTTTCCAAAAAATACATCACTCTGTACTAGATGACAATTACTTTCAGCTTTAAATCAGCCATCTCCATGTACCTCTTTTCAGTCTATGTAGGAATTAAGCTAACATGAGATCTCTAAGTTACTTCAGCAGGTATTTTGCTTCTTGATAAAAATCATTTGATAGTCATCTTGTGTCTCTTCTTTACAGGAAAAAAAAAGGAATTATAAAGAAGTTTTTCCATTCTGACTATGCAGAGAAGATATACCTGTGTTCTAAGCGGCTTAGTCATTAGAATGCCTGAAAGAGTAAATGAAAGGAAATTTTGACATCCTCAGTGATTAAAACTAAAGGTTTTCAGCAGTCAATATTGTTATCTAGTTAACGTGACAACTGTTAAAATGTGACAGAACTACTGACTTGTCATTAAGAAAAACAAAACCAAAGTAAATAAAATCCCACTGATTTATATCTATGTCTTTGCCTTCCCCTACATTATTTTCTCCAACTGAATTTCAAAGATAAAATCCAGACCTCACAATTTTCACCGCTGCAGGATCTCCGAGTTGCTCTTTGTGTTGCAAGTTCTTTCAATTTTGCAAACACTTTCTGTTTCCTATTAGTAGAAACATTTTCTGTAGAGCAGATTTTATCAGGTTGCTGTTCTTCAGAACTCTCATCTTCATCCATTATACAGCGGCGTTTAGCAAAAACTTTTCTAACAAGTATATCACTGTCCTCACTTTCATCACTGTCATACAAGACAGAGGTGTTCAATCTTTTACGCTTTCCAGGCATGACGCACTCATCCTCACCATCTTCTGTTACTTCCCCGTCATGGCTTTTCTTTTCCTGATCCGAAAAGCTGTTCTTCAGAACAGCTTCATCTTTTTCATCTACTTCATCTTCTGATGTGGTAGCCTCTTCCTCCTCAGAGGTACGTGAGGATTCATCATCGCTGTCAAGTAGTATGAGCTCCCTCCTAGTGCGTCTCCAATCAACTCGGGATTTGGATGACAGTTCTGTTCCTGTTGTCTTATTTCTTGTTTCATATCTTCTGACAACTGCTTTTATCTCCATTGGAAGGCTGTGACAACACACCAAAATATAAACTGGTAGAAAAAAGCACTTATTTCATTATGCCATTAAAAAAAAAGTACAATGGCACACATATTTTATCAGATACACTTATGACTTACCAATTATTGAGACACACGCAGAAACTGGCACCAAACAAAACTACGCATGCACACTAACTTCTAAAGAAGATATACCTGACTCAAAAACTGTAGAAGAGCAAAACTGTCCACACCCAGCATGAATGAAGTGGAAAAATCAGGCCTGAAGTGCAGCTACAGATCCCATCATCCCGTCCAAAACTGGAAGCCTACAGCTGAGGCAGAGAGCTTCCCAGCTCCCGAGGAGCAGCGTACATCGCTCGTTCGGGATCATTACCATCAGGCCTCACTGAAGAGCGGCCCTGCCTCCACAGCCCTCCCTCAGCTGGGAAGGGACCACCTCGCACAGGGTGACGGGCCTACCCCTACCTGCCCGCCCCGCAGCGGGCAGAGGCGCTCTGAGGCGGGTCGCGCCC